GAGCAGTTCCCGCGTGGTCCCCTGAGCCTGAGGTCAGCAGAGCCGAGTGCCGGGCCCATTGAGCAGACACGCGTGGAGCGCTGCTTCCCCACCGCGGCCGGGCTGCAGGAAGCCGGTGCACAGTCACTGTCAGCGTCAGCCCCGGCGGGTGGGTGCCCTGCACTCTGCAGAGCGGTCCCTGAGCTGCCATCCGGAGCGCCCTCTGTGCCCCGCTTTCCTGGTCTGTTTAGGAGAAGGCTGCGGTGCATCCCTCCACGGCCACCTGGAGACAGGGTTTTCGGGGGCTCCTTGCGGAGAAGCAGGCTGTCCCTTGGGCCCCGATGGAGCCTCCCGTGTGTCCTGACCATGTGGGGCTGAGCCCACGGGTCATGGGGCAGAGGTGCCTTGTTTCAGCTCTGCCACGCAGAAGACTCCAGGTTCTGTCCTGGGATTCAGAGCCACTTCCTGTCAGGGAGGAAGTGCGTCGTGGTTTCTAGCACTCAGGGTGTGAGTGTGTTTGTGTACACATGCATGCAGGAGTGCAGCTTGCCTTAGGGCTTTTTGTTTTTTGTTTTTAATGGTGCTGGAGGTTGAACTCAGGACAACTGCACTAAGCTACAGCCCCAGCCCTTTTTAATTTTCAATTGGAGACGGACTTGCTGAGTCCGTAAGTTGTCCAGGCTGGGCTTGAACTTGGAATTCTCCTGTTTCAGCCTCCCTAGTGCTGGGCTTGCAGGTGTGCACCACTGTGCCTGGCTGCTTTAGATTTCCTATCTGTGGAAACTATAGAGAGAACATTCAGGTGAATAAGTCACTGGTTTCACCTGTGAGTGTTTGGCTAGGGTTGGCGTGAGCTGAAGAACGGGCTTTGGAGCTGGACACGGTTGGGTTTGGCTTGCTGATGCTCCGTTCAGAAGCTTTTTTAAATCTTAGGTGTTAAAATCTTAGGTGTTAGCGTAGCTGCCCGGGCTTGTGTTTCCTCCTCTGTAAGACGGGCTTTCCACTTCCTGCTCTGCAGATTGGGGTTTGGGTGAGACCTTGGCACACACAGAACGGTGTTGTCTTCGAATACCCGCAGGATGCTGGAGACGGCTGCGCGCATGACCCTGTCTGTGCTCCGCTGGCGGAGGCCCAACCCGACCTTGGCTCAGGAGAGCCGCACGTGGGCGCCAGGGCCTGTGTCTGGCCCACTCGGTCCCGGCTGCCCAGGCACGTGGGCAGGGTGGGGGCTTCGCTGCGCCTGGTGCTCAGCCCCTGGAGTGGCTCGCAGAGGGGCAGCTTCTGACCTCAGTGCAGGCAGCGTGGATTCTGTTTGCCCTTTAGAGATGAAAATTAAGCAAATCTGTCACAGAAATGGAACACGGGATCCACACGCTCAGTGCATGGCAGAGGCTTTGGTTCCCGGCCCATCACTTGCCCTTGCCTTGGTGTGGCTGGGTCACAGGTCTGGGGGTGGGGACCCGCCTCGGAGTGGCTGGTGGAGGGGGCCCCTTGGCAGCTTCCCCCTCCTGGCCCTGTTGCACACCCGCATTCCCCCTGGTCTGGCCGGAGCCTGAAGCCCTCGGCTTCTGCCGGGTCAGTGTTCGATTTCTAACCAGGCACCAGCAAGCTGCCTTGGCCAGCGAGGCCCCTGCGCTGGGTGGCTGGGGTGGTGACAGCACGTAGGAAGGGGTCCTGGGGTCACAGGATGGGACAGGTCCTCTGAGCCAGGACACGGGAAGGTTCCGGTCCTGCAGAAAGCAGGGTGGCGACTCAGGCTTGCAGGTGACGAGACACCCGTAGCCCCAGGCCTGGCTCTCACCGGGGACAGGAAGGTGCGGGGGGGGGGGCGCTGTGAGGCTTGTTGGGGACCCCGTGTGTGGGGTTCTGGCATCGCCCGGTGCCTCGGGTCCGTGCGCGTCTCGGCTGTCTGGCTCCTGCTTCCTGCTTGCTGGCCGCAGTACACTCACCTTGAGGTCATGACTTTCATGTTCCTTGCAGTCTCGCAACCCTGACCAGGCGACTTCAGGTACTTTTCCACTTGGGTTTGCTGCCTGGAGTCCAGCCAGGTGAGGAGTGACGGCCACTCCCGCCCCGGTGGCGTGGACAGCCGCCCGCTGTGCTGCTGGGGAGACAGGGATTGGCCGCCTGGAGCGCGGGGACCGGGGCGCCTGCTTCCCGCCGTCCCTTTGGGCTGTTTGTTTTGGGTCGATCCTCTGTTTGCTGGATGTTTTTATTTGCCTGCGGAGGTGCTGAGCTCCCGTGGAAAACGGCACAGCGCCCGAGGTTTTGTGCTGTGAGAGCAAGCCAGGGCGTCTCGCCTCTTGGTGACTCAGTCAGTGGCCACTAGGTGCCAGGACTGTGCTCCCACGCTGGGCTAGGAGGGGGACTGGATCGGTGCACAGGCAGCCCCGGCCCGGGGGCTCCACACACAGGAAGTGCAACGCTGGATGGTAGGTGTGTGCATTGTGGGTAAAAATGAGGCAAGGAGCGGCGGTAGGGGAGGGGCCAGGCTCCGGAAGCAGAGAGTGGAGAGAGCAAAGGCCCTGGGTCAGCACAGCCGTGCCGGCCGGGGCAGCGAGGTGGGCGGGGAGGGGACGGTGGATGACTGGCCTTGGCCTCCATGGAGTGAGCCAGTAGCAGGGCTCCGGCGCCCTGCGGAGGGGCATGTGAGCCGAGCGGTTGCGTTCCTCTGTCCTCTCTGGGCCTGAGTGGTGTAGAGATCAGGACGGCCTCCAGCTCTGGCCCGTTAGCAGGACCTTTGCCCCTGCGTGGTAACTTGGGGGCTTCAGCCAGGGTGCTTCCCAGTGTTCCCTGCGGTCAGGATTCACGGGCTTTTTATGAGACCGAGACTGTCGGGCTGCGGTGGACCGTTCCGGAAAGCTCGCCGGGTCTTGCCCCTGGACAGGGCAGATGGCCCCCCTGTCCTGCGGCTGAGCTCGCAGGGAGGACACAGACACGAGGCCACTTGGGCTGCCCGGCTCACGAGACCCCACCCCCCGCTCAGATCCTGGCCTGGCGCGGAGCTGCGCAGTCAGTGCGAGAGTTGGGGGACCCTGGTGTTTGCGGCGCACCCGTTACCATAGCAACATTTCTAAACTAATAAAAAACAAGTGCCGGGCGTGGTGACATCCACCTGCAGTCCCAGCGCAGTGGGAGGCTGAGGTAGGTCGATCCCAAGTTCAAGCCTAGGCTGGGAAATTCAGCGAGACCCCGTCTCAAGGTAAGAGAGACATGGGTAGAGCTCAGGGTCGGTGCAGTGGCCCTGGGCTCGACTGTTAGCATCGTACACAAAAGCAACAGGATGAGTCGCGTGCTCCCAGGCACGGGACCCCTGCCCTTTCCGGCCCGCGGTGCCTTCCTTCCTGAGGTGCTAGTCTCAGCCCAGGACTCTGCCTCACGATGACTGACAGCTGCTTTTTGGCTGTACTCCAGTTTCAATTAGCAGAGTGTATTCACAGCTCATTCTTAGGCTCCTTTTTTTCCCTCCTAAAGTCATTGTGCCAGTTAATTTAGGGGGAAGTCATACTCATGCCTTGGTGCAAGTCATGAAAGTTCAGCCGTGGCGGGCAGCGCACAGTCTGTTCCTGATACGAGCAGACCCGTGCCTCCGGCCGGGTGGCCCAGTGGTCTGTGTCGGGCTGTCTCCCTCTGGTGCGGGGATCACTGCAGCCCTGAGCAGCCCGTCCTCCTTGATGAGGGTCCCTGCAATGCTGAAGGAGCAGAAAGATGCACCCCTGATGACCCAAGGCCTCCCACAGTTCCCGGCTCTGGCAGTTTCTGCCGCCTTCCAGCCGCTCTTCCCTGGGGAGCAAACCACATGGGCCTTCAGTGGCACTTCCACAACGTGCGACGCCTCGCTCGCGGCCCCAGGTGTGGCCCCGGCGACTCCGGGCTGCCCGCCTGTACACTGTGGCTCAGGACTCCGGATGCCGCCAGTAGGGCCTGATTCATAATGATGGCAGTTGAGGCGTTGTGCCGCACACCTCTAATCCCAGCACTCAGGAGGCTGAGGCAGGAGCATCACCAGTTCAAGGCCACCATGAGCTGCATGGCAAGACCCTGTCTCAAATGAACAAACAAACAAACAACCGCAGTGGAGGGTTCTGCTCCCCTGTCCACACGGCAGCCCGATTTCCCTTCTCCTCCTGTGGGCGGCGGCCGGTACCTGGGCCTCACAGCCTGGTGGTCCTGGCCCTAGACGGGCGCCTCTGCGGCCAGAGATGCCCTGCAGTGGGAACCCAGGCCCCTTCTCGCGGGGCGCGGGCTGAGGGCTGAGCAGGTCCCAGGCAGGGAGAGAGGACGGCAGCTTTGCAGTGGGACTGGACTGCTTTGCAGCCTGGCAGATTGAGTCCTCGGAGCGGAGATTCTGACCTGCACGCGGTCACTTGTTCCGTACGCGACCCGGAAGCTGGAACTTGCGGCGTTGGCGGCCTCTCGCAGGTCTTGCGAGCCGGAGCGATTTGTTGGGTGCCGTCACTGGTGCGCCTCACGCGTCCTGGAGCCGGCTAAGAAGGGCTTGCAGGCAACACGCGGTTGGTTTAGTAACACCCGCACTGCTGGCCCTCAGCGGCCGTCACTCGTGGGAACAGAAGGGCTCAGCCTCAGCCGCAGCGGACTCGTGGCCCGTACTGAGCGTGAGCCCCCTGGCAAGATGGGTCTGAGGGAGAGGAGCTGGTTCTGCACAGAAAACTAGAAACTGCGGCTGGCACCTGCTGAGGTCTGGCTCTTTGAACTCCTTTTCACTGGAACTGTGGAACCCTGCACAGGCTTTGTGCCTGTTTGGATTTTTGAGACAGGGTTTCCCTTTGCAATCAGGCCAGCCTTGAACTCACGACGTAGCCCAGGCTGGCCTCAAACTTGCCATGATCCTCCCACCTAAGCCTCCGCAGTGCTGGGATTGTGGGTGTGTGTCGTCACTGTGCCTGCTGACCCTATTTACTTTCAGTTGTGTGAGTGTGCTGTAGCTGAGGTGTGCCCTCATGAGGGGTGGCATGGCCTTGGTCCCCAGCTCACCATGTCTGTCTCCTCTCTCCCCTCAGTGCTGCACACGCAAGGGCCAGTAGATGGCAGCCTCTATGCCAAGGTGAGGAAGAAGAGCTCCTCTGACCCCTGCAGTCCCCAAGCCCTGCCGGCCACCGGCAGCCCCGACCACAGTGACCACACCCTGTCGGTCAGCAGCGACTCAGGCCACTCCACCGCCTCGGCCAGGACGGATAAGACAGAGGAGCGGCTGGCTGCAGGGCCGCCGAGGGGCTTGAGCCCGCAGGAGAAGGCTGAGTTGGACCAGCTGCTCAGTGGCTTCGGACTGGAGGACACAGGCAGCGGCTTCAAGGACATGGCGGATGCACACAGCAAGTTCGGGGGGACACGCCACGTGGTGCCTGCACAGGTGCACGTGAACGGGGATGCCGCCCCGAAGGACCGTGAGACGGACATCCTGGATGACGAGATGCCGCACCAGGACCTGCACAGCATGGGCAGCCTGGGCACCTTGTCCTCGTCGGAGGGGCCGCCGTCGGCCCACCTGGGTCCCTTCCCCTGCCACCAGAGCAGCCAGCACTCCCTGCTGTCCGATGGCTTCGGCTGCCCTGGGGAGGACGCTCCCGGCGCCCTCGCGCCCAGCCTGGGCCTCTACGAGCGGGAGCGGACGTTCGGCAGCGGCCGGGAGCCCAAGCAGCTGCAGCCTTTGCTGAGGAAGCCGTCGGCACCCGCCCCCACTCCGGCCTACGGGCAGAGCGGCTACCCGACCCAGAGCTGGGTGCGCCAGCAGCAGATGGTGGCTGCCCACCAGTACGGCTTCGCGCCCGACGGGGACCCCAGGCTGGGCGGCCATGGCCCTGCCGACGGTTCTGGCCTTGTGCAGGCCCAGCCCCGGCTTCCGGTCACCCCTGCCCGAGGAGCCAGCAGCAGAGTGGCCATGCAGAGGGGCACTGGCCATGGGCCAGACGCCCCCGACGCCCAGCAGCCCCACCCCATCAGAGCCTTCCAGCCCAGACTCCCGGACGAGAGGGTGGTGAACGGAGCCAGCGTGGAGCCTGGTGCCGGCCCCGCCCCCAGCTCCCCCACCCTGGACATCGACCAGTCCATCGAGCAGCTCAACAGGCTGATCCTGGAGCTCGACCCCACCTTCGAGCCCATCCCCACCCACGTGAGCTCCCTGGGAGGCCCGGCCAACGGCTCCGTGTGTCCCGACAGCACAGGCGGTGGGCTTCGGTCCAGCAGCAGGCTGCCCAACCCCTCCGGGAGCCCCAGCAGGAGCCCCTCCAGGCATCCAGGTGAGCCGGCATCTGGGGGGGTACTGACCTGTGATGAGAAGGTGGTGCACGCTTGTAGTCCAAGCTCTTTGGGAGGCTGAGGCTGGAGGATCTCAAGTTGGAGAAGGAATGCTGCCGGCCAGGCACTGCGTGGGTGATGGGGCAGGTGTGAGGGCTGCCTTTGTGCACCCCTAGAGCGGGGGGGGGGGGGGCGGCCGGCAGCAAGGGGGCAGGGCTGGAGCAGAGCCTGCTCACCCTGAGCTGGAATCGAGTCACTCTCATGTGCTTCCTGGAGTCAGCAGGCGCAAAAGCCCGAGGGCTTGGAGAGCTGGCACTGGTTGTCTGGGCCTGGGAGGGACTCAGCAGGCAGAGGGCCCTAGGGACCAGGCAGGGTTAAGGACTGATTTCCCTGAATTTCTACTCACGCCATCTGTGAAATGGAAGCCCTGTCTTGGTAACTGGTGCAGGTGTGCGGAGATGCCAGGCCAAGTCACCTCTTGAGTGCTGGGGTCGTCGTGGGTGCACAGCAGGTTATTTCAGCTTCCCCAATGAGTCAGGCAGCATTCCCACTGCTGGACACAACAACTGACAGTTTAACGGTTAATGTGGCTCAAGGTTCCAGGGGATTTGGTCCATGGTCAGCTGGCTCCAAGGCAGAAGCATCACGGTGGAAGGGTGTGGAGAGGCAGAGATGCTTAGTTCGTGGCAGCCAGGAAGTAGAGCGGGGGACAGTGCCGGAGAAGAAGGGGAAAGGGACCAGATGTAGACCCCAAGGCCACGCCTCCATAGCCCACCCAGACACAACCAGCAGTGTGCTCCACCGTACCCTGCATAGATCTCAAAGTCAGTCAAGTTGACCTCCCTAACGGCCACCTCAGGCTGTGTATATCAAGCACCTGGGAGAGAGAAGGAGCTGGTGACATCGGATTGTGATCAGCCGTGCAAGAAGCACAACTACCAGCAGAGTGGCAGTGAGCCGGCACTCAGTTCAGTTTAAAACGTTATTAGCTCATTTAATCCAGGACACTCAGGAAACTCTGGGTTTAAGTGAAGGCTTGACGTGGGAAGAAAACTGTGCATTATTAGACCCAGCTCACCTTAACACAACTTACCCGAAATTGCTTGGGAAAATTAAAATCAGCTTCTCTGGATGGAGCCTCTCCTGGGATATAGAGGGGTTTGCAGGCATCTGAGTGTCACTGGGGAAGAGACTTCGGGAGCTAGGTTTCCATGCTGTGGCCCTGGTTGGTCACTGTGCTTTTCAGCAGACTGCATTTAGTCCCCAGGAATTCCTCGTTCCGGGTACAAAGTGTGGGATTTCCGAACATCACTTCGTATGGTTCACCACCCTCACATTCCTGCTTTCATATTGTTTGATAAACTCATCACTTGAATAGCTGAAGTTTTAATTTTAGACCTCTTTAGTTTTTATTGTGAAATAATTACAATTTTGAAGGTAAAGAGCTTTCATGTTTCAACAACAGCTAGCAAAATCCAGTGCACATGTGGCTATAGGTTGTAGAAATTTTAAGTAGTCATTAATCCCTTCATGTTCGGCAGGTGTTTCGGGCCATGTGGCAGTTCTTTTCTTTTCTTACGTTTAGCCTTATAGAGATAGCAAACTGGGTGTTAGTCTTCTGAGATCGTGAGCGTTGGCAGTGTCCTTGTCGGAAGCCTGTTGCAGAGCAGCAGTAGCAGAGGGATTTTGGCACTGGGGGTGGGGCAGGGAAGCAGGGTCTCTCCTCCAGCTGGTGCCATCCCTGGGATGAGTCTCTGGTTTTAGAGCTGCACCCAGCAGGATGATGGGGTGAGCCCTGAGACTGGCACTGCGTTAGTGTAAGAAGGCCGGGTTGGGAGATGCCTGTGGGCAGCAGGCCTTTAGATCTCCCTCCAGGACACCTTGTGTTGCTAGAAATCCCACCAGAAGAAGCTTCGCATCTGTAACGCGCTCCAGCTCGGCAGAGATGGGAGCATGAAAGGAATGTTCCATTCTGGCAGGTACCGTTCTAGAACCTCTTGGTTTTAGAATTTACATTTCAGTGCTTGTGTGTATGTGTCCACTAGAAAAGGCTAGGTTGCTGAGCAACTGAAAATGACAATCCCCAGACACTAGCAGGAAACCCTGCAGAAGTGTGGTGGTGAGCCAGCTGCTTTCGAGTCCCTGGATCACCCTCAGAGGGGGATGCTGAGAAGCCTACACTTTGAAGGTTTCCCAGGTCCCCCGCTCCATGTCCATCCTGTCTGCCCCTGGGGAGGCGAGGGCTGCAGAGCCGGGGTCCTGCAGTGTGGTCTCAGCTGCAGCGTGCAGAATAGTACACCACCACCACATGGGTCACACGAGGTCCGCGAGACCCAGTCCCACTGATAGCACGGCAGGGCCCGGCCGTAGCCACCTGGGTCTCAGGCACAGAGTACCCAGTGTTTTGCTGTGAGCCCCTCTGCCCTGCCTGCCTTCCATCCCGGCCCTGGAGGATGACTGCTGCTCAGCTGCCTTGATTCTGGCACAGCACAGAGGCCTCAGCGTCCTGCAGTTGGTCAAATCCATCTCTCTGGAAATAGCGTCCTGAATACAAGAAAGGCCACGGCTGTGGTAGGGAGTCGGGAATCGTGTGCCCAGTGCTCCTCCCGAGGACTGCTGCGTCCTGCAGAGCTCTGATGTGACATCACCTTAGTTCCTCAGGCTGGGCAGCAGCGCTTCACCACGGGCTGAGGTGGAAGGTGAAGGCCGAGCATTCCCGAGAGTGTTCTGTGCCAGCAAAGCAGCGAGACCGCCGCTGCTGGGGCTGCCGCCGCCGCCTGCAGGGTGGGGATGCTGGGGCTGTGCGCATGGGGTCTTGGCGATTCCGATGAGGGTGGTGACCATGGTGAGGATGGTGGTGGTTCTAATGGTGGTGCTGAGCCATTCCTCGAGGAGGCTGGCACGTTTTCCTGGCTGGTTCTGGTGGGACCGGAACTTGGGTCTGCCGTAGGATATAAGGGACAGCCAGCGGTCACCTGGCTGTCACCTTGCCCCGTGAGCTGCCTCCCACTGTGAGCGGTGGCCTTAGTTCCTCAGTGTGAGTGGGCTGCGTGACCCAGCAGTGGACAGGACCTGGTGACAGATTCACCACAGGCGTGCTGGATCCGGGCACTCGGTCCTCCCTTCCTCCCGGGGGGCCTTGGGGCCCAGGATCTGCAAGCCACCTGCGCTTGGAAGGCTCCGATACCTCCAGGAAATCTCCAGACACCCCGGTCCTCCCAGAGACCCACGCAGAGCTGCCCCTGGCCCGATGAGCTCCCAGAGTCGGACTGCAGTGCCATAGGGCATGGGCTGCAAGCAGCTCCGTGGGGTGTTTCTTCCTGACTTGCAGTTTTGCAGCTGAGTGTCCCTCGCCCATTTCCGTCTCCCCACATAAGTGGGCAGTGGCGGTGCCGACCCCAGTCCTGCCCGTGAGCTCTCAGTGCAGCCCCCAGCAGTCTGGGCCTGCAGACCGCTTCTCCAGGTCTGTGCGGGCCGTGTGTCCCCTCCCAGTGTCCCCAGACAAGGAGCCGGAGGGTTTCCTGTCCTGATCTCCCCACTGTGGTGCTGGTGGCCTTGGTTAGGGTGCCCAGGCCGCCTTTGTCCCGGGTGTCTGCATCGTCAGCGCAGGGGGCAGAAGGGCCCTCCCCACGGGCATCCCCAGGAGGGACTGCAGGGACACGGTAGGTTCTGTGGTCGGCGATCCCTGGGCTCTGAAGGGGCTGCGGTTCCTGCCCTGAGCACCGGAGACCTTTGTCACCTCCAGGGCAGGGTGGGCTCAGGTTTCTTGTCCGCTGCTGGGGAAGGAACTGGACACAGGTGCGTCTTGTGCAGGCCGTGGCTCGGTGCCCTGCACCGTCACTCCTGACCCGCCCTGTTCACAGGCTGCTGTCGGGCTCCGCCGGGTGTCGCTGTGCCCCTCGCAGCAGGATGGCGGGGTGTGCGGGCCGGGGCTGGGCTTTGTGCCCAGCCGTGTTTCCGGGGTCTGTCGGGAACCTCATCTTCCCGTCATCTTGCCTGAAAAGCAGGGTGGGATGGGAGCGGGGGCTGCAGAGCCGGGGGACCTGCCCGGGCGTCCACCGCACACGTTCGGGAGCAGGCGAGGCGCGTGGTGCGACGTCTGCACAGCGGGCTCTGGAAGTCGATGGGTCACCCGCAGGGGCCCATGACTGACCGCAGTGCGCACTGTGGTCCGCTCAGAGCAGGATGCGGGCGTGGGAGTGGACGGCAGAGTGCTGCGGAGGGTGGGTGCCTTGCCGTGCCACATCCGTGCTCACGTTCTTCAAAGGCTGGAAAATAAAAACCGACGGTTTGTGAAAGCGCGGAAGGAGGCAGCCGTTCACAGAGCGAGGAGCAGAGCCCAGGGCTGCGCTGCACGGAGAACCACGCAGGGACACCGCAATGAAACCTTGCACACGTGCGCCCTGGCCCAGGGCTTCTGTCCCTCGTGTTTGCTGTCCCCCCTCCCAGACCCTTGGTGGCAGCGGCTGTGACCCGTTTGGGTATCACTGGGTTTCACATCTGGCTTCATGCATGGGTCCCCCAAGCCCAGATCTGACACATAACCCTCATGGCACCCCGAGACGGCTGTGGGGACCCAAGCTCAGTGAGCAGCGGCTGAGCCCTCCCCGCGTGGCCCGGCTCAGGGAGGCTGCACGCTGGCCTTGTGCCATGTGGGACAGGGGAGGTGGCTGGGTAGCTGGGTTGGGGTGTCGCTCAGCCACTCAGCAGCACTGAGTAGCCGTCCCCTGGAACAGGAAGCCTGGCCTCAGCACCAGCCTGGATTCTGGGCAGCCCCATGGAGCCCTGCCGAGAGCCAGCTCCTACGGGGCTCGGCAGGAGGCCTGCCTGGCAGGGCAGCTGTAGCGTCCCGGTGGGGAGGAGGGAGGGGGGTGGGCCCAGGAAGCCCAGTGCAGCCCTGCAGAGGGGCGCTGTCGCGGCCAGGCTGTGTGTCTCTGTGGGGCGGCCTCGGCCTCAGCATCTGGTCTGTCAGCGAGGGCCTAACACTGCCAGGGATCAGGGACCAGACCTTGCCGATACGTGCGATGTCCTTGTGGACGTGGTCAGAGGTAGAGGTTGTGTGATCTTAGCACAAATCTCAGCTGTGGGGGAACGGGAGCTGGGTGTGAGTTTTCAGACCACATCATTGTTTTATTGTTTCGTTCTGTGCTGGGAATTGAACCCAGGCTCTTCGAACTGGGCTGTGACTGGAGCCTTCTTCTACTTTTAATTTTGAGTCAGGGTCTTTCTAAGTTAATGGGTTGCCCTGGCTGGGCTGAGACTCAAGATCCTCCTGCCTCAGCCTCCAGAGTCCCTCCTGACTTGAAGTATCGTCACCTTCATAGCCCACAGCATGGTTGTCCAGCTGCCCTAGTTACGGGAACGTTTTAAGAAGTAACCGATTCCAGCAGGGACCCCAGACAGGAGCAGGGACCGTGGACATGGGATTCATGAGTAAACGTCTGCGCTGCTGGCTGAGAGGAGCTTGGGCCCTTGGATGTTTACCATCGGTGCTGGGATTAGGGGGTTCTGCCCTATGGGTTAGGATTGTTAGGACTGAAGCTCTCAACGAGGCCCACCCTCTGGAGTGGGATGTGTGTGTATCAGGGTGCCTGGAAGCCCTGCCCAGCCTGGCCGTGTGTGACCCACCTGGCCCTGTCCTACGCCGGGACTGCCGTGTGCTCCACGCTCGGCCTGGTCTGTGTAATTGCGCCGGCCTGGGAGCTGGGTGTCCACTCTGTCCCAGCAGCCCAGATGGGCCCCGAGGGTGCCTACCAGTGGTGAAATGCAGCCTACCCTGGAGAAATTCCACAGGAGGTGTGTGTGTGGTACCAGGGTTTGAACCCAACCCTTTTAAGATTTTTTATTTAGATTTAAGGTGTCTCTAAATTGCCCAGCATGGGCTGCAACTTGCAATCTGCCTGCCTCAGCCTCCCAGAGTGGTGGAATTGCAGGTGTTCACCACCACACCTTGCTCACAGTGGGGTTTCAAGCTGGGGTCTTTGCCCCCCTGACAGCCCACTCGTCTCTGTCCTCACAGGCCCCTCCAGTGACGAGCACCTGGGCGGAAGGCTCCGGAAGATGAGTCTGGGACAGTATGACAACGACGCTGGGAGCCAGCTGCCCTTCTCCACGTGTGCGTGGGCCAAGGCCGGCGTGGACGCAGCCCCGAGCCCGGCGCCTTTCCCCTCTCCGGGGGACATCAAGGAGGTGCGTGCCGCCCTGGTGTGGAGATAAACGGGAGGGTGGGGACACCGAGGCACACGCCGAGCCCTCCAGGCAGGGCCATACTCGGACCCTCAGGGTCAGTGCGCCCAAGGAGGCCCCAGACAAGGGTGCTCCTGGCGCCTCTGGGAAAAGCTGTGCCGGCTTCTAATCAGAACAGGAGTAAAGCAGGTCTGTGTGCCCAGGGATTCGACTGGAGTGGGATGTGTGTGTATCAGGGTGTCATTCCCCCGGGCTTCTGTGTAGGCTCCCTGTGGGGAGGTGGTGCGCACACATCACACACACACACACACACACACACACACGCACACACACACGTCACACCCGCCTCCGGGCTCTGCAAACGCGGGCTTCTGGACTTGGAGCCGTACGGGAAGGGACGGTCACGCGTGGCTGTGACCACAGACAGAACCCCTGTGTTGTCTTTGGAGTGTTGCTGTTTTCTGTGCCGTGTGTGTGACTCCGTGATCTTCTGTAGTTGTGAGCAAACCCTGCTGCGTCCCGCGGTCCCGCAGCCCCGTGCATTGAGCTCACAGCCGGAGCGGCGCCTTCTTTCCTCCTCGCGCTGTTAGCAGAGAGCGCTTAGCAGTTCGTGGCTGGAGAGGGGGCCGTGGGCCTCACGTGCAGATGAGGCCTCAGCTCCCTGGAGTGTCTGAGGGTGTTGCTGCGGGGGGCCAGCCCCTGATGCCCCTTCTTCCACCCGCTCCTGATTCCAGACGGTGATCCCTGCGTACCCCCCAGACCTCGACGTGATCGATGGCAGGATGCTGAATAGTACGGAGCCCGTGTGTTCCACCCCAGCGTTTCCTGTGTCTCCAGAGACACCGTACGGTAAGAAAGAAGTCTAGATGATTGGGCCGCAACACCCATAATCCCAGCACCCCAGGAGGCTGAGGCAGGAGGATGCCAAGTTGGAGCCCAGCCGAGGCAACTTAGTGATTTAGCAGACCCTGTCTCAAACTCAAAAATAAAAAAGGGCTGGGAATGCAGCTGGCGGGAAGGCCCTGGGTTTGGCCTCCTGTCTGGGAGCTGGGGGAGGACACACACTGCAAGGAGGAAAGTGACAGCCCCACTGTGCTTGTCTCCAGTGAGGACACCGCCCTGCGGTTACCCTGCCTTCAGCCCGCCCGCGGCCCCGGGGAGCAGCCCGGCCAGTGCACGCAGAGTCGGACGAGGTACGAATGCCCGCGTGGCTCAGACGAGGCAGCGTGGTCTGCGCTTTGCTGGCCACTGGTTCCAAAGACTCCCTCTTACACAGACGCATGTCCCTGTGGGCTGCATCTCACTCTGGAGCCTGGGCTTGGGTGGGTCTTGCCAGAAGGTGTTGGACGGAGGAGATGGGGACCGTGGGGGAGTTGGGTTGCTTCTGGCATCCTGCGGCACCTCGGGCAACAGTGTCGCTTGTCTCCTGGGGGCATCGGTGCCAGGTGGGCATTGTGGAGCAAGCCCTGCCGGAGAGCGCATTCCCCACTGCATGCAGCAGCTGCCCCTGCCCGGCAGGGCTTGGTTCTTGTCCCTGGGTCCCTGCAGTGAAGCCCAGGGTGACCGTCTCAGTTGTACCATGAGGCCAGGCCTGGCAGGCAGAGAGAAGGCACTGCCCTAAACCCTGCATGCGATTTTAAAATCGCCCTTCTCTGCGCTTTTAGCTTCTTCCTGTGGCTGCTCTTCTGTCCTGGTGAGGGCACCCCAGGGACGCAGTCTCTGGCTGTGGGTGCCTTTTCTGGGAGGGAGAGATTTCCGCTGAGCTGTGTCTTCATCCAGGCCCTGCCCATTTACGATAAGGAAAAAAGCAGGGGTGGGGGGGACAGAGCGCTGTGTTCCTCCTTGACCTGGTCGAGCCTTTGCGGCGGAGGGGTGCGGAGCCCCAGCGGGCACTAGTGCCTCACACGTACACTGCCACATGTGTGTCCTTCGCGTGTTCATGATGTCTGCGGGGCCTAGACCCCATCTTGACGCGCACTGCAGACCCTGATGTGACTCCAACAGGGTGCGGGGCTCCGGCCCCAGACCAGGGCACTCGGCCTGTCCTCGTGGGCACCTGCGTGTGGTAGATTTCAGCCCAGCCCAGTGTCTTCCACGCCTTCCATATGCACATCCATGTCCCTGAGGGAGAAGTGGGGCTTTGTCTTTCAGTATTAAAGCAGATGTAAGCAAAGATTAATCGTACGAAATTCCAGCGCTCAGGGAGGCTGAGGCAGGAGGATCACAAGCTGTACCCCAGCCTGGAAAACTTTGTGACGTATGGAAACGCTGTCTCAAAGTAAAACATAAAAAGGGCGGGGGCTGTAGCTCTGTTAAAGGTCCCCAGGACTGCAATAATAATAGTACATACCCTTTAGGTTTTTATCTCAAAAGGCTCCAGGGAGAGTTGCTTCGAATCAGTACAAGTCACACAGCTTTGCCTTGGTGGGAGCTTGGTCTCATGGTCCCTGCCCTGCATGGGGTACCAGCCACTCTTTAAGGTTAAGCGGAATCACTGGGCTCCCTTGGAAGCTGATAGCAGAGGTGGCTTCAGGGACAGGATTGCCTCCTGCGCTTTCGGGGTGATTTCCCTTAACCTTGCAGTCATGGGCCTCGACTTCCGATCCCCGTGGTGCGGATGAAGAAGTTGGCCCGCAGGAGCGGGGACAATGCACGTGGGGCTTGTCTTCCAAGGGCCGCGACCTCCTGCGAGGACTGCAGTGTTTGCTGACCCCGTGGCCCCCTGAGCCTCTGTCCCCGCTCAGACCTGCAGCTCACGGCCACTGCAGGCTCGATGTGGTACCCAGGGCCACGCCCACGTTTATGTGGCGGTCATGGCGGTCTGACGTCAGCTGGCGGCAGAGCTCTTCTGTGAGAAGTGTATCTTAGATTTCGTGTTGTGCGAACATCACTGTGTGCGTCCGCAAGGACTGCGGTGGGGATAATCTTGGGGGGCCACCGTCACAGACTCAGGTCATCACTGACGTGATGAGCCAGTGGTGTGGCTCATGGTAGAGTCCTGGCTAGCGCGCCCCAGGTGTGGGTTCCACCCAGTCCTGCCAAGAGCGAGGTGCTGAACTCCGTGTGCACACCTGTATTGGGTTTAAAACGCCACTGGGCAGAGGGCTGGCTTCCCGGAGGGTGTGTGAGACTCTTTTCCCTATTCCTTCCGTAAAGTTCAGCTAAAAATCCTGGACGTGTGTGCCCCAAGTGTGAGAGTACCCGGAGGGGTAAGGATTGGGTGGGGGGTGGATGCGCCTGGGGCTCTGGGTCAGGGGGCCCAGGGTCTTGATTAACGAGTGCCCACATCTCCAGGCCCAGCTGGAGAGTTTTCCACTGGAAAATTCTACCACACGCTTTGGGAGGAATGAATATGATTGCCACACAGTCCCTTCCAGAAGCAGAAGGCAGCACGCCTTCGTTCGTTTTGTGAAGCTAGTGTCACCCTGATATCAAAAACAGACACAGGCGCCAGAGCAAAGAAGACAGGGTGCGAAGAGCGCGCTCCTCCTGGCCTGCGTGCGCCTCTGGGTTCTCTCCTGACACCCCAAGGAAAAGGGAAAATCACAGACCAGCGTCCCTCAGGAACACAGACACAAAACTCGCTTATGGGATATAAGCAAATAGCACCCCACAGTACATGAAAGGAGTCACACGATAGGGCCCCGTAGGGTTTATTCGAGAGCGCAAAGCTGGGTTGACATTTGAAAAGCCGTCCACCTAATCCGCCGTGTGGAAGGCCAACAGGGGAAAAGCATGCTTGTATCAGCCAGTGCCGCAGAGTCGGGGCTCTTCTCTGTGCGGGAGGCCCTGGGGCTTGGTGGCAGGTGGCCTTGCTCTCTGCAGTTCTGCTGGAGTTGCATCGCCTCTTAAAACATCTTTTCAGCTTAAGCAGAGTGAGAATGCATGCCCCGTGTCTAGAAATCCCGGGAGCGTGGATTGGCCCGTGCCCTGGACGGGGAACAGGGAGCGCGGAGGGCGCTGCTCTGGAGGGTGTAAGCGGATGTCGCGCATGGGTGCCTGCAGGTCCGCGTCACCAGGAGCCCACCGCGATGAGAATGTGGATTTGCTGTGTGGAAAGAAGCACAGACAAAGACCAGGTGACCCCGCGGCCACTCCTAGGTGCGGACGCTTCTGGACCTCCCTGCTTTGGGCTTGGCGGGATCTTTGCTCTGCGTTCCCCTCGGGCTCTGATCATTGTGCTGTCCCAGGACGCCCGCCGGAAGTCACCCTGAGGAGCTGCCTTGGGGGCAGGGCCGGGCCAGGAGCCCCCGCAGGACCAGCTCAGGGTGGGGGTGAGGGCACAGTCGTGGGAGTTCACACCACCCTGTGTCCTCGGCGGGCAGGAGCGTGGTGTGGCCGGCCCGCAGGGAGACGGAAGCAGCTTGAGTGGGGTCAGATGGAGGTTTGGGGGTGTGGGCCACGGGCCTCTGTAGAGTGATTCGGTTACGCCCGTCGTCGTCTCTGCCTGGATGGTGCAGCACCGCCTACCTGAAGGTAGTAAGGACGCTGGTCACAGAAGCCCGGGTGTGCTGTGTGAGGCCCCTGCACCCAGCGGGACAAGGGCCCCCGGGAAACAGAGCTGGTTCCAGCCCCAGGCGACAAGGACAGATTCCCATCAGGGCCGCTGCAGCAGGAGGAGCCGCCCCTTGAGGCTCTGGGTTTGGGGCAGAGAGCAGGGGGTTCAGGGGCAGCAGCCCTGGGGGATCAGGTGCACAGGAAGCGCCTGGAAGGCGCTGCCCGCCTGGGGGTGGGTCGGGGTCAGGTCGGGGTCGGGTCAGGGCTCCTTGCTGAGCTGGCCCCGCAGGATTCCTGCAAGAGGAAGGCCAAGGATTAAGGCAGGAATCTGCAGGCAGGACAGAGCAGGGCCCATCAGATAGCAGGGTGGGCGGCTCAGCGGGTTCCCGCTCATCCTGCTCGGCTGTGCTCACCCAGGGTGGATGTGGAGGTTGGGTGAGGCCTGGTGGAGAAGGCGGCTCCGAGGACGGTGTGGGCTCTGGGAGGGACCGTGTGTGGGCCAGGGCCCTGATGCCCGGCCTGACACCCAGGGTGACCCCCGGAGTCCCTCGACTGGGCTTAGTCCTGGAGCTTTAGGACCCCGTGTCCCTGTCACAGGCATGCTGCGCCCCGCCATCCCGGAAACAGCTTTCGAATAAACAAACAGCAAGCAAGCTAAGCATCCTTCAGATGTATTAATAGCTCAGGGAACGAAAGAAGCTGCTTTGAATCCTGGAGACCCACAAGGACGGGGATAAATGCCAGCCCTGCTGGTACCCAGGCCACCCGCTGGGGTGGGAGGGGCTTTGTGAGGGAGGGGACAAGGGGATGTCACCTGGGAGTTTGAGTTCTCCACGGTGAGAGTTTTTACAGTGTGGTGTTGGCAGATGTTGCCAGGTGTCCCCTCCCCTGGGCCAGAGCCCCTCTCTATCACCCAGAATAGTAGCATTTTGTTTCTGCAGGCTGGCCTGGAACTCCTGGTGGTCCTCCTGCCTCAGCCTCCCAAGTGCCAGGGTTACCGGCATGCACCACCACACCTGGGAGAACAGTAGTAATTGCACTTTTTTTTTCCTTTTATGCTACAAGCTAATCAGTTGTGAGGAGCAGAGCCCTCCTGCCCGCTGAGATCGTGTGCTCGTTGCCCTAGCTTTTTTCGAGGCTTTATGGAATCTGGGTTGGAATCTGAGTGCCAGGCTTGGTGCTGTCATCACGCCTGTCCTGTTGTCAGAAGCCATCTCTCAGGGGCAGGGCAGCGGGACAGTGTGGTGCCCGGGGGCTCCCGTCTCAACAGGCGCATCTCGGTGGTCACATGCCACGTGTCCCCGTGTCTTGGGCCTGACACTTGCTGTGGGTGAGTGCAGGTAGCTCGCCGGCCTCCCTACCCCTCCGCTGTGTCCCCTCTGTGCAGCTGGGATGGATGGGGACCTGGCTCAGACGTCAGCCAGTGAACTCAGGAACCCTTAGCACCAACGGTGATATGGGGTGATGTCCGCTCAAAGCGCCTTTGGGGATTTCTTCTCTGGATCTGGCACTGTGTGACTTCTGGCTCCTCCCCAAAGTCAGAAGGACCAGGAGAGAAAAGGATTTGAATCTGTTCAGGATATCGAGGCAGCCTGGTCTGCACAACTAGAGAGCTTCAGAGGACCCCCAGCTGCTGCAGAAAGTGGCAGGAATAATAAGCTGAGTGTGTGCAGAGCTGGGGGAGGACTTAGAGGAG